GGTCCTGCGGCTCCGGCGCAGCGAGGGGACGGGCGGCGGAGCCGGGGTTAAACGCGCCGCCTCCCTCTCCCCTCCCCCCGCAGGTGCCGCTGAGGTGTAACGTCGTGTTCGTGTTCTGCCCTCCCCAAAACAGCCACCGAGTTCGCACGCATCCCTCGGATGTGCGGGTTTTCCGCCTCAAAACAATGGCAAAGAGGCACAGCTGCGTCAGCAGTTAAACAGACCCCAGACTTGCACTTTTCTTTGCGTGCGCTTCACTGTACTCTGCTTAATGTTTGCTTTTCCTGATACACCTCGGTAGTCTTGGAGAGGCTTACGCAGGTGAGTAGGTACAGTACTTCTGTTAACTGAGTTAATACTGATCTCTGTTAAAGAAAGAAGCAGCCTCTCTGGAAGGACTCTAGCATTGAGGGAATGCTTCAGAATGCAGCAGACAGACCCCCAGTCATCAAGCATTGGGATGAAACTTGGGGCCGTAGACTGATTTCCTGCTAATAACTTGGAGCTTATTTTTCTACAATACAAATACAGCAGATTATTTTCAGTTTAATTTCAAGTAGTGAAGATTGGTGGACTTTACAGATGCGTAACTTTTAATAAAGAAAATCTGAGAACTGCACCCTGGGATAGCAGCTCCAAATGGATTGTACTTGGGCAAAGCGTACCTTGACTGTCTGATTGTGCTGCGTCCATCTCACTATTTAAAAAACTTTTTTTTTTTAAGTTGTTAGCGTTAGTGCAGTAGTTAAGGGCTTGTGTTTTCTAACTACAGCTGTTAAAATGACACATTCACTAGCTAACAACATGGGTTTTCTGAAAGTTTGGGGTTTTTTTTCTGTGCTATGCAACCTGCTTCCTTTCCACTTGCATCTTGTCACTCCTACCTCTCTCTCCAGTTATAAATTTAATATATGGAATTTAAGCTGGAAACCAGAGGAAGATTTATTCTGTTTCAACTAGTTTGTCCCCTGGAGTAGGACATACCTGATAGATTGTGTCCAGAAGTGAAAGCTGTGGTCATTGTTTCTTTAAACTGTTTTTCCCTAGTGCTCAAACGGCATTGAAATGAATTTTCAAAGTTAATTATTAGCTCAGTGTCCTTTTCAGATGGTTAAATTGTACTAGATACTTGGGTTTATGAAGTGGCTTTGCTATTAGATGTGCTGAGTAGTGTGTTCCAACTCTGATTTTGATGGAGCTTCTTTAAGTGCTCAATCAAGACTACGTTTCTGTTTTTTTCCGTGTTCTGTTTCCATGCATTTAAACTCCTGTCATTGCTCTTTGTGCCTTATGTGCGGTGATTGAGTTGGGTTTTTTTTCTGCTCTTATTTTAGGGTATGCTGTTCCTCCACCGACATCGCAGCCAACCTATTCGAGCACGTACACCATTATTCAACAGCCTGCTACCACCACTTCTGTAGTAGTAGTTGGTGGCTGTCCTGCTTGCAGGTAAAATAGCTCTCTAGTTGAGAAATATAAACTGTCTTGGGTTTTATTTTTTAAATTACAGGTATCCGTATAGTTCTTGGTTTTCAATAGTTTCTCATTGTGTGTGTATTAGAATTTAACTAATTGAAAAAGCTCTAAAATTTAGCAGTGGAGTGCTTTAATTTATGTAGTATGAGCTTGTCCTGATGGGCTCGTATTTTTAATGAAAAAGTTCAGTCAGAGATGTAAAGGGTCAGTTCTTGGGGGAGGGAATGACAGGAAGTCCTTTCTGATGTGTTTATGCCCAGTGATAGTGAGTAGCATGATTTTATTGTGAAACTTTCTGTAATCTTTGACCATAGTCACTTCTGGTTATCTGGCAGTCCTGTGGAAGGGCTTCCACTGCTGTGGTGTCTGCCCCAGTTCCCAACATCCAGACTGTCCAAAACCAGGCTGGGTGATTGTCAGTATTGGTTGAAAATCATCAGTATCTTAAGGCTTTAAAAGATCTCTTACTTTAAAAGTCCTTTTACTGCAGAAGAACGGGGAGATTAATAGATTTGATTCAAAGCGTTAATCTGATGAAGTGGTGAAAACCAGAAAAAGTGGTCAGCTATTAGTTGGAGTTGCAACAGAAGAACAACTTCCCCCTTGGAGCTCAACAGCCGTAAAGAAAGGGAAGGAGGCACTCTGTTTCCACATTAGTGCTGTAAGTCAGCTGCAGTCCCTTTGCACTTCTCAGTTCCTCTTGTCCCAGGAGGGCAGCCAGATTGCTGCTGGTGCAGTTCAGAGCCTGGCCAGCTCTGACTCAAATGCAGAATCATTCCCTTCCTGTTAAAATGTATGGGCATTACCCTTGTGGCATCTTGTGAGGAGGCACTTAATATTCTGCAAGTCCGAGCCCTTGCTTTTCTGTTCCAAAAGGCATAAGAAACAGATGTGCTAGAATAGCAGAAATGATACCAGGTTTCAGTGTGGTGAATGAGTTTGTCGTAGTGGCAGATGCTGTCCCCCAAACGCCTCTTGGTTTTGTTAAATTGGTGTTTTGTCTGAGAGTCAGTACCTGCCTTCAAAGGTGGATTCAAATAAGAAGTATCTTGTGGTGCTCTGTAAAAACAGGTGCCTGCTGAAATGCCACTAGTTAGGGCTGAAAAACCTGTACCAGCTAGAGCTATTGATCTCAAAGTTGTATGTTTTAAACAGTGAGGGAAGATAACTACTGAGCTGTTCAGAGGATGTGGTAGATCCTGCCACCTGAGTAATAACATTAAAATGCTTATGCTTTAGCTCAACGGGAAGACAGGACAGATGTTATGTGTTGCTTGGTAAAAGGCAGGCAGTGTGTTTATACAGACCTTCTGGCCTGAAACCCAATAAATCTCAAAATGTTTTACTATGGAAGTGGTCTTTGTAATAACTGAAGATTGGTAGACTCTTGCTATTCTTAGGATATCTTTTTTTTTCTTCTTTTTTTCTGGAAGTTATCCTGCGATGTTCTAGGAGACACCTTTGCAACTGTCATTTGCAAGTCTAATATCTAACTTTAGCCAAATTTGGGAAAATGAGCTATCATTTGTTAGGTATTTTTAAGTGACCTCACTTGAATAATTTTCTTAAGTCATCTGACTTGCTCTGCTGGAGGCTACCTGGTGCTCTGTACCTTGTGGACTCTTTCCTAAAGCAAATTACTCTTCACAGAAACCTCTTTTACTCATGGTTCCTCACGTTTTGTTTTGGGCTGTGGAAAAAAACCTAAGTTGTAAGGACAACTATGAGATGTTGAGTACCATGAGGCATAATAGTGCCCTGCTTAAACTGTAGGACTCTTCTCAGCACTTCTGAAATACTCTTGATTGGGGGATCCAAAGGACGAGTAACCGTATTAGCAACGGTGTGCCATAGTCTTCTCTGCAGTATCACTATGTTTTTTCCTAATTGTCTTTAGAGGAAGAGTCAAAGCATCAGGGTAGGAGGGAAGAATCTCAGATTGCATGTCTTTTGACTAGTTAAGGAATTGATAGTCGTACGTCAAGAGAAAGGTCAGGGAGGCTGGGTGGGAAACACGATATTAGAAATATTCACGGGAACCTGAAGGGTCAGGGTTCATGTGCTGGCAGGTTACACTGGCAGCTTCTCTTAGAGAAAGAGCTCATAATCCTCTTTGACTTCTCAAGACCTTAAACATAGTTCTAGTTTACTTCCTTGGCTTGGAAACCTATTTTATGAAGAATGCAATTCTGAATACAACACTGAACAGAAAAGTTGTTGAAAGGGCACTGATAAACATGAAACACTATTAATCATACATAAAAAACTTTGTTATTAAACTGCTGAGTCAATTGTCCTGCCACTCTTCTGACTTGCTGCTGTGCAAGATCGTTGGAGAAGTCCATCAGCTCTAGATGATAAGGAAAAAGCCTTGTTTGTGGCTGTGGAATAATGTAACTGATGGTGTAGGCTAAAGCCCATCGAGAGGATTTTTGCCATCAGAAATACAAACTATTTTTTTGCACCGTGGCATGTATGAATGTTGCTAATTGAAATCAAAACCATTTCCAAATTAAAATCAGTCACGAATGATCTTGGGATTCATAAGCGAGCTATGGTACAGTCAATCTTCAGGCTTGATGTGTGGTACAAAGTCATAACGAGTACAAAGGACCTTCAGAAGTAGCCTCTCTATAAGTAGGTAGTATGCCCCTGGTCACTATGGAGTTGTGTTTTTTTTCCTTCTATCTCTGAAGCATTGCTGCATCTGAGGGATGACTCTGCTGTCTTGCCAGCTGTACCGCTTGCTTAGAGTTATTCATTAGTCAGACCATCCTCATTCATCATTGGGCAGTGCTGCTTTCTAATTACAGACTTCAGTATTAATCTGTGTTCCATCCTTCCTTGTGTTATTAAAATGTTTTGGGTGGTTGTAGTCCTGTTGTCTTAGTGTGAGTTCTTCTCCCAACCCCAATGTACAGAGAATTAAACTGAGTTGCAGAATATGGTCAGTTTTATTGCTTGTAGTTGACATCTAAGGATCAGCCAAGTCCTGCTTTTAAACTATTTTATGTTCCCAAGTACAGATTGAGTCATTACAGCTTCTAACTTTAGAGATCCAGCTGTGTAATTATCTTCTTAGCTTGGAGAATGCAGTCTGGCTGCTTCTCTTGTGGTTACTTTCATTTTCTCTTTCTCTTTCTTGTGTTGTTGGGTAGAACAAATTGTAAAGGAATGTTTGCTTTCCTATTACTTAACAGTAAAAATCCCTTTAAAAATTGTGAAAACATTCTCTTGATGTGATGTTTGCAAAAGCTGGTTCTTTCACAATCTGGGACAGGGCCTGTGATGGGCCCTGTTGGGTTTTTATTTTCCTGTTTAACAAGTATTCAGTCCTTTGGAAGAAAAGGAGAGGAGGTAACGCCATGGCATTGTGGCAGCTTTCTCTTCTGACAATTACAAAACATCTGCTTGAGAAGTACTGTTGTGGGTCCCAAATTATAACAACGCTGAAGCTTCTTCCAGGGTTGGAGGATGAGACAGGCTTGATTAAAACTGTATTTATTCTTGGATCTCTTACAGCCTTCTCCCTGCTGCAGTGTTTGGTAGGGTTTTGTTTGTTTGGTTGGGTTTTTTTACTTGACAAAGTAGCAAGTTCTCAGGTTTTGGTTGAAATTTTGTTTTCTTCAATTAAGTGCATTTCTCCTGAGAGAAGAGACTCTGGGAAAATTGCACTTAAGTGATAAAGTCCTTCAAAATTTCAGTCTTCTGTGTTTTCTTTGATTCTTTCAATCACAAACGCTGTATGCAGTTTGACAGAAGGCTGTTCAGGATATAGGTTTTCTATAGTCATTCACAACAACTATATTTAAACCTGATGTAAATATTCTTAATAGAATTTTGTAAGATGTACTGGTTAAATGTGCAAGGAATTAAAAAAAAAAAGAAAAAAGAAAAAAGACCTAGCTCTCTAGAGATCACGTCTGATATTCTGAGGAAAACTTGTGGATTTTCAGTTTCTAACAGCAGGCTGACATGGTAGAGATCCTTTTGAATCTTGAGAGTGAAGTCAGCTTTGAAATACCTTTCCAAGAGTGCTACGATGAGGAATGGCTATAATAGTGCAGCAGCTCCCGGCGCTGTTTTGTCACGAAGATGATCAGCCTGTGCTGGGAATCGGTGTAGCTCCCTTGTATTACAGTTTGCAGCTTTTTGTAAACGTATGCTGTTCGGGCAGGCTGGGGCACTCATCCCTGCTGCGCTGTAATTTGGTGGCTGGAGCAGTTAGGGCATGAAATTCAGCAGTGACTTAGCACGTGATTGCAAAGAAGAAAGCCGCGATACAGCAGGCTTGAGCAGATGCCATGAGGCTGCCATTTGGAATTACTGACTCGGATAGCTGTAACTTTTTTCCCCAGCCCGACAGCAGCGGGCGGCGGCGGGCCCG